GTTTGTTGGTTTGTTGGTTTGTTGGTTTGTTGGTTTGTTGGTTTGTTGGTTTGTTGGTTTGTTGGTTTGTTGGTTTGTTGGTTTGTTGGTTTGTTGGTTTGTTGGTTTGTTGGTTTGTTGGTTTGTTGGTTTGTTGGTTTGTTGGTTTGTTGGTTTGTTGGTTTGTTGGTTTGTTGGTTTGTTGGTTTGTTGGTTTGTTGGTTTGTTGGTTTGTTGGTTTGTTGGTTTGTTGGTTTGTTGGTTTGTTGGTTTGTTGGTTTGTTGGTTTGTTGGTTTGTTGGTTTGTTGGTTTGTTGGTTTGTTGGTTTGTTGGTTTGTTGGTTTGTTGGTTTGTTGGTTTGTTGGTTTGTTGGTTTGTTGGTTTGTTGGTTTGTTGGTTTGTTGGTTTGTTGGTTTGTTGGTTTGTTGGTTTGTTGGTTTGTTGGTTTGTTGGTTTGTTGGTTTGTTGGTTTGTTGGTTTGTTGGTTTGTTGGTTTGTTGGTTTGTTGGTTTGTTGGTTTGTTGGTTTGTTGGTTTGTTGGTTTGTTGGTTTGTTGGTTTGTTGGTTTGTTGGTTTGTTGGTTTGTTGGTTTGTTGGTTTGTTGGTTTGTTGGTTTGTTGGTTTGTTGGTTTGTTGGTTTGTTGGTTTGTTGGTTTGTTGGTTTGTTGGTTTGTTGGTTTGTTGGTTTGTTGGTTTGTTGGTTTGTTGGTTTGTTGGTTTGTTGGTTTGTTGGTTTGTTGGTTTGTTGGTTTGTTGGTTTGTTGGTTTGTTGGTTTGTTGGTTTGTTGGTTTGTTGGTTTGTTGGTTTGTTGGTTTGTTGGTTTGTTGGTTTGTTGGTTTGTTGGTTTGTTGGTTTGTTGGTTTGTTGGTTTGTTGGTTTGTTGGTTTGTTGGTTTGTTGGTTTGTTGGTTTGTTGGTTTGTTGGTTTGTTGGTTTGTTGGTTTGTTGGTTTGTTGGTTTGTTGGTTTGTTGGTTTGTTGGTTTGTTGGTTTGTTGGTTTGTTGGTTTGTTGGTTTGTTAGTTTGTTAGTTAGTTTGTTTGTTGTTTGTTTGTTTGGTTTGTTGGTTGGTTGGTTGGTTGGTTGGTTGTTTGGTTGTTTAATTGGTTTGTTTGTTTGGTAGTTTGTTTGTTAAATGGTATTATCTAAGGGTGTGTAACTGTTCTATAAATACGAGATAGAGCCACCGGCGTTTTCTATAACGAATGAAAATGAAATTCAATTCAAATACAAATACATTCATACAGTGTAAGCAGATGGGGAATTACACACGAATTAATATTTAAACAACTACTATTACTACGGCAGCGAGTACAGTGACCAATTAACAATACGTATATATTATACTTTACATAATCATATAAATGATAATATACACAACAATTTACTACCTCTGCTGTGTATTAACCTGAGAATAAAGAACTTGAAAATGAAGAATCTGAAAATCCTAGATAAAAAGGGTTAGTGTTTTCAGATTATTCTTCAAAATGAATGGACACAGGTCGAGATTTGTACTATAAACTCATGTTTTCATCCCATTTTGCCGGTAACTGTATCCTCTACCTTTATCACCTTGCTATGTGGTCAAGCCCTTTAATGTTTGTCGCTATCCCTGCATTTTGCGTATGCAGGCGACAATGTCTTCTCTTACAAAAAAAACAAAATCCCAATTCGCGATTCGTACTATAAACCGTATCCGGTTACTATACTATAAACTGTATCCGTCTCAAATTGTTGGTAACTGTGTCTTCTACTTTTATCACTTCGCTAGGCAGTCTAATCTCATAAGCAGTTTTCCACTATGTTGATTGGCGTTGTACGTACCTTGCTTACAGCATCAAGATTTCGCTATAAGGGACGCCACTGTTGCTGAACTAGTTGCACATGTTGATAATTAATGTTTTAGGTACAATTTTATAATATAAGTCTTTAACCGCAAGATAATAATTGATGACGATCAGAATATCGATCATTTTTGTCGATGAAAGTCAGACGACATTGTACCCATCTACCTGTAACGAATAATGCTGGAAAAGATGCTGATTAAAGTAAACTTACTCGATAATTATAAATTGTCGATAAAATAGGAAACATTAATTATCAACATGTGCAACTAGTCCAGCAACAGTGGCGTCCCTTGTAGAGAAATCTTGATGCTGTAAGCAAGGTACGTCCAACGCCAATCAACATAGCGGAAAAATACTTATGGGTCTAGACTCCCTAGCGAGATGATAAAAGTAGAAGACACAGTTACCGACAATTCGAGACGGATACATGGTTTTGTAGTACGAATCTTGAATTGGGATTTTATTTTTCTTTGTAAAGAGAAGCCACGGTTGACGGGTAACGGGTAACGGGCAACGGGGTAACGGATGAACGGTAACGGGTAACGGTGGAACGGAGGGACGGATAACGGATGACGGGTAACGGGTAACGGTGGAACGGAGGAACGTATAACGGATGACAGGTAACGGCAAACGGGTCACATAAAAAATAGGAATCTAATAGAACTTATTTTTAGCATCAGTCTATGTAAAGTTATATTGAAGTTTTTGAACGAAACAGAATTATTGCGTTGTACAGTTGTAAATACTGAAGTATAATTATATTTAAATAACCGACAATTATTTCAGAGACATTTGTACCTCGACTTAAGTAACATATACATATCTATCCTTTTTAAAAACCTGCTCTAGAGGGAGGTGTTGCAAAGTATTTTTTTCTATTTTTCCTCATAAGAGTTCGACTGCAACAGACACAAAAAATATACATTAACTAATTATTTACAGGCAATAAGAAAAGAACACGTACCCAGAAGTAAGAGGAGTATTAAAGAAGCAGCGAGAAGTACTACGTTTGAGTAAAAATTCTTTAGGTGGTGT